TAGAGGAATTTGTGAGGGATAGGAAGTGCAATATAGTTTATAGTGTTGTTCATTGGATAATAATAAATATTTTGTGGAAATCCTTCAAGAAACTCCTTATTATATTTCATCGTATCATATAACGAATTGTTGTGGATTGAGCTTAATGTTCCACTATATATTGTATATAATTGAATATATAACTATCAAGTAATAAGAATATAAGATTAGTTGCTCGAGATAATGAAAGTCGATACGATGAAAGACATTAAATAAGAGATCGATTATTTCACCACTATACATGATTATTTCATACATGAGTTCTAAGAGAATATTATAGATTGATAGAACTTGTTATCGATTGTTTGATTAATTCAGAAATCAATCAACCTATGCTTGCAAAATTAAACCACTACAATTCATATTCTCTTACGAGGGAAAGAACTCTCTGATCAGTGTGGTAGAATTTCAATGTTGAGAAAAGGATATATTTTTAAGGAAGATTAACTTTGGAAACTAAAATTTTTGCCATTCTACTTCTCCATGTTGAAAAAAAAATGTGGGAATATTTCAAAGAAAGGAAAACAGCAATCAATTTCAAAAATCAACTCGATACAAAGATGTGTAGACGAAAGAAAAATATTTTGAAACGAATAATTTTATATGAATGTTGAATTATACGGAAAACACTGTTTTTTATTTCGTTTGTATTCCAAACACTCGTAATGGGATCAAATCACGTATCATCCACAGGATTCCTACAAAATTTAATTAATGATAGTGAAATTTCACTAACATTGAACACTGTCATCCTCACTGCTAGACATCTCCTACAAAATAATGATAATAAAATCAAACCTATTATGAAATTAACAATTATTGAATGTCATAAAAAGCTTGTATGATTTTTGACAGCCAATGTGAGTGGTAAAAAGGAATTATTATAATTTTGAAAACAATTATGATAGAGGTAATAGCTGAAGTTCAATCTTATCAAAAACATCAGCAAATTATTTTGACGAACCAAAGTAACAAAAATATATAGAATTCAGAAGAAATGGAATCCAGAAATTGAAAAAATGACAGGAGAAGCTGAGACCGTTTTCCGGAATATTTTTAATCTCCAGCGATTCAAATCCAATGTGAATCGCTACTTTCGCACAGGCTCCGCCTTAAGGATTCTCTTGTGGTGCTTGTGTTTTGTTCTTGAAAAAATATTAAATAATTTTCAAGTAATTCAAAAGCCTTTCTGAATCTATTGGCAATCGAAAATTTGATACCCACTGGAACGTAATAACTGCAAATTGTTGCGAAGGAATTCATCTTTTACAATTCAGATTGATAGGATAGTAACTCTTACATATTTTGGAAATAGTATAATTGGTTTTCTGAATCTCCATATATTCTAAAGAAATTTTTCGATTTTATTCATTTACATGGAGTCGAAAACCCTTCTCAATGAGGTATCAGTGTCCTTCCATTTCCATGAAGGAATTGTAGGAGACACCACCGCTTCAACAAATGAAGATTGAGTCGTCCAAAATTGTACCTCTCTCATTCCTGACGTGTTGTTAGATTTCTTCAAATAGTTATTTTCCTGGCAGTTCTGCTTTGCGTTACGTTCGTACATTGTTGATGGTCTAGGTACTTTATATATACCAGACTGTTCAGAATATCCATCGCAATGATCAAATCGAATTCGATGAAAGATACAAGATAAAAAAGATATTGTGAGTTATATTTTTGGAGTAATGAGAAAACACTAATGAGTTGCAGTTCTTTCAATAAATAAAACAAAAACCATTTCAATTGAGAACTGAGACGTAACGCCCCAGACTCGCCATCAATGGTGACACGCAGGCGGGCGAGGACTGTGCTAACTAGTGAAATTCATCACGAAACATTGTCAATCACCTTCAAACAAAGAAAATACTTGTTCGCGTTCCCGGTTGTTCGCGAGTATCCCGTTCACACTAAAAACTGAACAAACGACCGCGAACAAGTATTTTCTTTGATGTACCGCCTTCTTTTCGATCTTTTCTGAACGCGAACAGGCATATGTTTGCTCGCTCGCTAGCCCGTACTCACCAGACGATTATTTAAGGTGCGTATTAACCAAAAAAGTGAGCACGAGCGAACAAGAAACAAGAGCGAACAAGAGAGAACGAGCATTCTGCATCAATAATCAATAATGAGCGAACACGAGAAAACATACACGAATGCTCGCTCATGCTCGCTCGTGCTCGCTTTTTTGAGGAATACGCATTCTCAGACATATTACCGCGCACGCACTGCTCGCACAAAGTAGATGAATCCACTACGACTACGAACTTGAAGATATTCGCTCTGGTGTGGACAAGACATCAATATTTCGAACAAACACGAGCAAACATACATGAATGCTCGCTCATGCTCGCTCTTGCTCACTTTTTTGGTAATTACAAGCGAACATGAGCGAACACGAGCGAACATACACGAATGCTCGCTCATGCTCGCTCGTGCTCGCTTTTTTGGTGAATATGCACCTTTAGATTTCAATGTTGTGAACTCCATTCTGGGAAGATATAGTACGGAAAGCGTGAATTCGGTTCCATTTTAGTTGTTGAGTGGAAGTTTAACTGGGTTGCTAATGATCAAAGTAGAAAATTAAGTTGCGTATTCACCAAAGAAGCAAACACGAGCGAACGAGAAACAAGACCGAACAAGAGTGAACGAGCATTCTGCATCAATAATCAATAATGAGCGGACACGAGCAAACATACACGAATGCTCGCTCATGCTCGCTCGTGCTCGCTTTTTTGAGGACTACGCATTTTCAGACATATTACCCGCGCACGCACTGATCACACAAAGTAGATGGATCCACTACGACTACGAACTTGAAGATATTCGCTCTGGTGTGGACGAGACATCAATATTCAGAGCAAACACGAGCAAACATACACGAATGCTCGCTCATGCTCGCTCGTGCTCGCTTTTTTGGTGAATACGCACCTTTAGATTTTAATGTTGTGAACTCCATTCTGGGAAGATATAGTGCGGAAAGCGTGAACTCGGTTTCATTTTAGTAGTCGAGTGGAACTTTAACTGGGTTGCTAATGATCAAAGTAGAATATTGAGTTGCGTATTCACCAAAAACGCGAGCACGAGCGAGCATGAGCAAGCATTCGGTCTATGTTTGCTCGTGTTCACTAATGTTCACTAATGTACGCAAAAAAGCGTACTCGCTTTTTTGGTGAATACGCACCTTCAGACGCGCTATTCATAGGCTCGCGCCTATGAATATTCACTCAATTTGCATGCTGTGAATGACCATTTCGATCCATATTGAATGTACAAATGTTCTACTTAATTGAATAAGGATTAATGGTGTATTGCCTAGAACTGCTTCGTAAATAAGCCATTAGGTGCCATCAATAAATTACGTCACAAGAATTTCAGAACTTTCAGACCCCCACGCCCTTGTCACATGTTGTCACATTTTTAGAACCCCCCCAGATGTGACGTCACAACTTTTTCAAACTTAAGCATGTATTTGAAAATAATTAAAAAAAAGTTAATTCACAAGTGAACAAAACCAATGTATTGAAGCCGGCGCGTGTGGTGGCACTTGTCGGAGGTCTCAAAAACAACCGACGCGCGGCATAGTGTGGTTTGCCATTCGCTTTTGCGAGCGAGCACTCGCCGACAACTAAAACCTATTTAAACTCTTACTATTCAGAACTCTAATGAATTTTAGTGTCTCACTTGCATTACAATGGCGCTTTAGAAGTTAAATGCTGTTGCGTGAGAGATTATCTCATTGCGGGAGTGTTAAATTATTGACAAATATAGATCAAGTTCGATAATTACTGTGATACCCTCCCCCCCATTAACATGTTACGTGTTTAGAAAAGAATAATTTTTAGGAAAGAAAGATTTTGGGTTTCTACTTTTTCATCTTCATACAAACAAATGTGGAAATCTTCCAAAGAAAGAGAGGAAGCAATCGATTTGAAAAAGTTTACTCTATGCAAATATTTGTAGATCATGCAAAGGATTAACTTTCAGACATTATACTCGTACGTCTACAAAATGCTAGTTCTGCCGAAAACATCGCCTCTGTCTAAGAGAGTGTGCAGGGGAATTCGAGTCGGTCAATTCCGCATCGTTCACAAGAATCCGGTCTTTCGCAGACCACAACTCGGATAATTTTACGTCTTGAGCCTGCAAGGTAAACGACTATAGACAACGACCTGTATTTTCTGAATGGGCTCTGGAGCAGTTGGCAACTGAGCCTAATTTTCATCGAGAAATCATCTTCAGCGATGAGGCTCATTTTTGGATAAATAAGTATGCGAACAAACAAAATTGACGAATTTGAGACGATACCAATCCACACGAGATCCAAGAGCGTCCAATGCATCCCAAGTCACTATTTGGTGAGGATTTCGGGATGACGGCATCATCGGTCGATATTTCCTTGAGAAAGACGTTGGACAGGCTTTTACTGTCAACGGCGACCACTATAGGTCGATGATTGCCAACTTATTTCGGCCTGAATTGAATGATCTGGACACATACGACACGTGGTTTCAACAGGACGGCGTTACGTGCCACGCAACTCATTAGGGCATAGTCATCCCACGTAGAGGTGATGTGAACTGGCCACCGAGATCATGATATTTCATCCAGGTAAACTTTTTCTTGTGGGGTTTTCGTAAGTGGCAAATATATGCGAACATGCCACAAACCACAGCGGTCCTAAAAGCCAACATAACTCATGCCATCAGTCAAATTCAATCTGATTTATGTGCCAAAGTTATGGAAGATTGTACGTTTCGGATTCACTCCACCCAGAGATGCATACATTCAAACGATGTTATATTCCACACATAATGGCATCAATAGGTCTTTCAAACGAATAAACACTTTCGATGATAAACCACACACACTTATTTTTTATTTGAATTCAAAGATAGGAAGAGCTCAATGAGGGACCCTAGGTAAGAAAATAATTTTCTGTTCTTCCTTTCAGGGAGATGTTTATGTACACAAAAGTATTTCCAATTTTCGAAGAGTTCCAACGAGAATACGCTATCGAAACCATTTTCGATAAATACGCTAAATGCTACAGTGTTTGTCAGACTGACAAGAAAGAGGCTTTAGTATTGAACAATTTGAAAACGGACGGATTTTCAGTCCATAATCGTACCATACCTCAAAATTTGAACCACGTCCTATTTGTGTTCCGAAACTATGGCAGACTTCACGGCATTTCATTAGCAATGAAAGTAAAGAAACCTGCCTTATTCAAAAGTATGACTAAAAATATGACGAATGTCTTAGGACAATTCATTGTTCAGGCGAATATGGCTTCAAGTTTTGTCGATAACTTCAAAAACGCCAGGATGTTGTTCATGAAAGATGGCAAGGAGGCCATAGCCAATAAACTGGACGATGTGGAGAAAAAAGTGGAAGACATATTAACCAATATGTTCAGTGATGATCTCAAGGAAGCAGTGGTGCTTCATGGAGACTGCTGGAATAATAACATGATGTTTAAATACAAGGTAAGCATTTCTTTCAACAATTATGGGAACACTTCATTGTTTTTTTCGAGGTTTATATGCAGATGAGGATCATTTGAATATTTTCCAAATGTTTCTCAGATGTACGAATTTCAATTTTCCAAAATATGTTGTGAAAGAGTATATCATAGCATTGGTTCGATCAAGTTCCTATGATTTTCATGTTGCACATGTTGATTCCACTAGATGAAGGTCAGCTAGTTTTAGTTATCCTAATATAAAAGGCGTTTGATACCAATGATCGTAGGAATCTGCTTGATCAACTTCAGTACTATGATTTTTCTCAAATTACCTGAAAGAACAAACAGTTCAGGCCAGTCTCAACTCACCTACACTGTAGTTCAATGAACTGATACCTATATGAATGCACCTGCTCTCATGGCTGATACCACGAAGGGCGTTGGATTATATTCGACAGGTGTCAGTGCGGGATTCTTCACATAAGTAATTCCTGCATATATGTTGGTGATACAACTGTCGGAATTGATCATTGCACTCGTCAGTGCAAGGTAGTGTCCATCATCAACATGCGGTCGATGATATCCCATTATTGAAAATCGAATTTCTTTCAGAGTATCATTTCTCGAAGTGGGCTGGAGTGAACGACAAACAACATATTTGTCATCAGCCGCGAAGTGGCCAAATAGCCTGAAATCGGTCTGCAAGTGTGTTTCAATATTTGAAAATCGATTCTGACAGTTTTATCGCCAACAGCAAATGCAGTAATCACTTCTGTGAAGAATCCTGCACTGACACCTGTCGGATATAATTAAACGCATTTCGTGGTATTGGCCAGGGGAGTAGTTGTTTCCTGAAAGGTGTCAGTCCATCAAGCTACAGTTTAGGTGACTTGGCACTGGCTTGAAGGAGTTGTTCTTTTAGATAATTTGATTTACAGCCAATCTTCAAGTATGCCCCCTTACTATGTGTGAAATATTATTTTCTGAGGATGAAGCTGCAGCAGTCAGTTTATACTAGTTTATTCGTCAAAAATATATGCCCTAACCGTTGACTTCAGAGTCTCTCAGGGCTCCAGATTTGCATAAACAATTCACTTTCTTTTTCAAAATCGAAAATGATGTTCATGTTGGAAGTTACTTCATTTTGATATAATAATTCATGGACTTTCATACCTAAATAGCTTTAACACGCGGCTTCGTTCGCATTTATACCATTAAATAAGTGTCAGTATAATAGAAATGAATCAATATGAGACATATATACCTATAAACGAACTATAGACCTTTTCTTCGCCCTCAAATGACATGAGCAGGATATCGTTGATGGCTGCTGCTTGATCGTTCTTTGGAGTAAGTATGGCACGCTCAGATAACCATTCAATAGGCAATAATGTCTGCACAAACTTCAGACAGCAATTCTTAAACCGTAGTAACAACTATGCACAATTCTTCCGGAATGGTTATCATTCCATCAAACGATGGAAAATCACCATTACCGATTTTAGGAAGGAGATCTGAAAATCTACCAGCAGACTCATCTCCGCCCAAATGTGCTCTCATATTTTTATAGAGGTTGAGAATATTAACCTGGGGTCACAAATTACATTTCTTAATGCACGACTTTACTTCTGGTTCCTTTTGGCACCACTGGTAGAGTCTGCCGAAAGTCTCCGGCCAGCAAAACTGTTACGCCATCCATTAATTTTGTATTACCCCTTATATCCGTTAATGATCTGTTTGAGGCTTCAATACCACCTTTATGAGCCATCGTTATTTCGACCCATACGATTATTTTTGTACTCTTTAAAACTTCAGCAAAATTACTTTGTTTTAATCTGTGATCTTTTTGAGGCTTCAATACCACCTTTATGAGCCATCGTTATTTCGACCCATACGATTATTTTTGTACTCTTTAAAACTTCAGCAAAATTACTTTGTTTGGAGATGTTACGAATGGGAGTCACGGCAGTGATTAAATTGAGTGGTAACTTAAAAGTAACATGAGCAGTAGTGTAGCAGATATGCCGGTCGACGCCACAGCCAGGGCAATGCCGTGAGTACTTCTTACTTTCGCCAGAAGTAAATTGATAAAGAAGGTTTTACCAGTTCCACCTGGAGCGTCTAAGAAGAATATTCGACCGTCATTTGCATCTATACTTGTGATAATTTTATTGTAAACTTCCTGTTGGTCGTCATTCAAGGATGCTTCATTTTTTCTTTCTGCGTCTTCTAAGGCCACTGTATCGTAACTGGTCTCTTTCACGTAGTCTCTATTTTCGAAATGTATTGATGTTATTGGCTGGAGTAATCCATACTCTTCAAGAGAACGGCCGCCTGATGATAATACGGCATCCTCTAATACCGACAGTCATTTGAAAAATATCAGATCCGATGAGTGCTCTACATCCACGGTTCCTTGCCTTTCCAGTTGTTTTTCAAAGTCTTCAGAAAGGAATTCTTCGTATTTTTCCCAAAGACATAAAAGGGGTCGGAAACCTGGCAGAACAATAAAATGATAACAGAAAGCTCTCGAATCATATGCGGTGTTTGACAAAGTGCTGCCTCTTCAAGAGCTGAATCCAAATTTTCAAATTTATTTATTCCATGTTAATATACAATTTGTTGTATGACATACATAATTGATAAATTTCAATTATCTTGAATGAGTAACTTTCACCTAGACATTGAAATGCCTGTATTGTGATCTGTTACTCACCAAGATAAGAGCTC